TTGTTTTTGCCCTTGGTATGCCTAAGTGCACGGAGGAGGGGTGACCGCGTCTAAGTACAAACTCAAAATAATTCGGAACATCGCACACGCAGCCGATCAACCGCAGAGCGTGCCCACAGAAAAGCAGTGTGACGGCCAGCGCATGAGCCGCCTGCCTATAAATGAAGCTAGCTCCCTAGTGTACGTAGAATTGGGTTGCGTTACTTCAAAACAGTAGCCCTAGGCACCCCTTAGCTCTTAGATAAGGAGGACTGGGTGATCAGTCTCTGTGACAAGCTGTGTGTGAGCATGCATCGCGTTGGAGCATAGGCATTCGTGCACGCATGCCTGTGCATGTGCTCCGGCGTTTTTTTTTTCTTGTGTCACATTATTCCGTATTTATCATTCCATCAGAATATTTACGGGAAGTGCGCCTGCTGCTGGCAAAGGGCGGCGTTTTCGTCTGACGCAACATCAAGCATATTGTCCAAACACAGTTACGTTTCGATTCCTTGTTTTGTATAAAAAATTGAAGTGAAAGTTCTCTTTACGAGTACGCGTATGTATCTACTATGATGCTATTTATTTTGCATTTAGCTTAGACAAACTATCGCTGAATAGCATTGTATACTATCTCTAAGCAATGAACATTGAATGACTGTCGCAACCAACATTGATACGTGATCGAAATGTAAGACTACTCGTTACCTATCACTCATACTCTAACTAATTCGGGTATAAATATACCGCGAAATGAGATGCACAAATAAAGAAAAAAGTCTGAAGCCGTACGATACTTATTAGAATACACACAAAATCAGTTCCTCTACCTGAAATTTGCTTTGACAAGCATGCCACCTTCATATATTTTCTAGAATGTTTTATTGACGCCATCACAGGCACACCTGTTAGGGCATCACGTAATAGTGCGAATTTTCCTCGTATAACCAAGCTGGTGAAAACACGGATCGGAAGAGAATTAAAGCAAGAACTAGTACTTCGAGAAACAGACCAACGTGGTTTAAAAATGTAGCGATGCCATTGTAGACATGCCGCTTTATTCACACGTAGTCTCCAAGAATGATGCAGATAATCACGATAACACGGCGCAAGGAGTCTAATAGTTCTCATATTTATGAGTTATGGAGTGCGGCATGCCACAGGCGCCCTCATATGTCCAGCCTTCATTGTCGTATTGCTGAAGAGCACCTTGCGCTAGTCTTTCGAAGATTGACAACGCAAATCTACATGCACTAGGGAGAAACGTTCTCGCTAGATAGACCACACATGCGCAGGCCTTGTCTGTATTTATCCACCAATGCGCTTCGTCTGCGAATGGCTGTGAATTCGGCGTTCTGAATTATTCTGAGCGCGCGTGCACTTGTCTCGGAGCTTAAAACAAGCAATTGGAAAATCTCTGGAGCGCTGAAGAGTGTGCTTTGCGGCTTTTTTCATTTGAGAAAGTTTAATTACGCTGCACAGTATTGCTCGTGTCTTGAAGGTGTGTGGATTTTCGAGCAGTGAGTAGAAAAATTTCTCCCAGTTCATTGTCTACGACTGCTGTGCGTGTTTGCCTGCTCCGGTACCTCAGTAGTTTGGTGGCTCAGTTTTCGATTACGTCGCTGTTTACATTCCTTGGTCAACCATCTTTTCGCTTACCAAATATGTATCAGAAGGCTATCAACTAGCGGTGCTTCTACTGTGAGCGCTAGCGGCTTAGAAGTTGTTTTTTTTTAGCCTCTCGTATGTGCCTTGCCCAGTTTGCAGCGCTATCAGGTATAACCTCAGGTATTAGAACTAAGATAATTTGCCCAATATGTAGTAGCCATGTAAACATAGGAGTGTAGAATTTTGGAAGAGGCTACTGACACGCAAGACGGGAGCCCTCACATCTACTTCGGCTTCGTCCTGACTCGCCCTTCACGACGTCGACCAGATGAAGGCAGTCCATAGGTCAATGACGTAGATCTTGACAGCACAGCCCTGTGAGTACAGGGGGGCGCGGAGGATGTTAAAAATTGTGTAAATGACGAAGAATGTCGCTATCATAATGAAGGGAGGGCCAGAGCATTCGGAATAAAGAAGAGGTCAACGGGTGGGCTTCGCCATGAGCATGGTGGCTCGTCCCTTCCTCAACAATATATAGCGATCAGGGCCCAGATTTCCTTATAGGCTGCTGCAGAACCCTTCGTTGACATCATTTATGCCTGCGAAATTAGGAAAGCTCTCTGCACTGACACTGGTACCCGATCTTGACGGATGTTTTGAGAGTACAAGAAGTTGAAGGCCATGTTCGTCAACCACTCGCTTGAGTTCCCGGCCTTTCGGGGTATCTGCTTGGTACTCCCTGATAGTTTAAGGGGAACTGAAATTCACAAGAAGCGGCAGTCGCTGCTGGGCGCTGGAATTATACTTTGGCCTCCCATACCGAACCACTGCGTAAAAATTGACCCTATTTAAGTGGGATATACCGAGGAGTACGCAGGGGCCAAGCAAAAGGGGTAATGTTGTTTGTGTCTGTCACAGGAAAATTTTTATGAAGCGAAATAATTGGACGTCTGCTGCAATAGTGAGTACCACGACATTGTGCTGAATAACATATTTGCGTAGCTAAGAACAGTCTCCTCAATAACTATGTCTAATGAATAAAGATGTTCTGAAGAGTACAAGAGCGCTAACTCAGCCTAAAACAGCATCCAGAAACTTGGCAAATAAGTGATAACTTCTGCGCATCTTCTAGAAAGTGTGTGTATGTGTGAGCACGTAGTATGTAAAAGAATGAATAAAACTTACCCTAATTATTGTGTCACGCTGTTGGGCTATCAAATTCGGCTTTATAAATAAACCACAAGTTCAATAGCGCATGATGCTTTGTGACTTTTTCGTGGAATAATAAATGGCTTACAAATATACTCCGAAAACTTTAATCCGTAATACATTACCTAAATCAGCGTCTTTCCAAAGACAAAAGTTTGAATAAAGTTGTTATGCAGGTAAAACTTGCCTCGAAGGCGATCTTTTAACGGCAAACGACGGTAGCGATGAATTCACAGCCTCCCGTACGCGCGATCCCTCGGTCAAGCCCCGCCGCGGTGGTCTAGTGGCTAAGGTACTCGGCTGCTGACCCGCAGGTCGCGGGTTCGAATCCCGGCTGCGGCGGCTGCATTTCCGATGGAGGCGGAAATGTCGTAGGCCCATGTGCTCAGATATGACTGCGCGTTAAAGAACCCCAGGTGGTCAAAATTTCGGGAGTCCTCCACTACGGCGTCTCTCATAATCATATGGTGGTTTTGGGACGTTAAACCCCACAAATCAATCAATCACTCGGTCAAAACGAGTGACGTCATGGAGGCGGTGAGGAAGCCAGAAATTGTTTTTCTTGATGGCATTGATTGGGCTTGTTCGGGCTCGTCATGCGCACGTTCCTTTACGTGCGCATAACTTTCTGGCGCTAGGAGGCCGGAGAGAGAATATTTGGCTTTAGGCTATACGCGGGGCCAGTAGTGAGGGTTTCGAGCTACCCTCCTCGCGTCATGAATTTGCGTGGCTTCAAAATAACAGATGTGCGCAGCTCATATCGAGCCAACTAAGCAATTCTTCTGGCATGATGCTCTTGATCGGACACATAGCAAATGCCACAGTCTAACTAAAATTTATTAGGAGGCCTGGTGAGGGGCCCTTCAAAAAATTGTATAGCCACCACTCGTTTGTGGAAGGTGCGACCATTCCATTGCCATATTTCGAGATATTCGGGTTGCACTTGTCTTCTACTAGCCACGGATAGTGCTTTTGCTGTGCGAGGTCAGAATCTGTTTCAGACGATGGATAGACGTAGTACCCTGGCTGCTTTAGTTCATTTCAGAATCACGGTCATTATGCTGGCGATAGGTTCGTCGACATAACCTTTGAGACCTTGAAATTCGGCATACATCTGTTGCTGAAAACTTTGCATGCTTTGTCGTTGCTGCATTGCTTGTTGTAATGTGGCTTCCATAGATTATGATGTGGTTGTAACCTGGCTAGACGTGCCGGCTGCTTTGAAAAATATTTTTGACCGGTTATGTACGCGGTTAGCTTTGAGTGAGACCAACTGTCATATCCTGCCAAGCTTCTTTTCAGTAACGATTCTTCATTACTCAAGAGTGGCCTTTACAAGAGCAGTGGGAGAAGCATCTCGTGTATAGCTCACCTCATGTTCAGGCGCTTGTTTGGTAAGCCGGGAGCCCCCGTATTTAGGATGCTTTGGTGAGCGAAAATGGGGTCGGGTGTTATTAGAGTCCTAACGTAATCTAAATCTAAGTACGCAGGCCTAAAAAATATTTATGCTTGCATCGAATGCAAGCTGGTGCGCCCAGGATTCGACCCACGACCTGCGGGTCAGTAGTCGAGCACCGTATTCATTAGACCACCGCGGTGTGTAGAAGTGCCATCGAGACGACACTTCATAGTACTCCTACATAGAGCGGTGAAAAACTATCTAGTACACTGCTGGCGTAGGTCCGTAATGTATAAATTATTCGCCATGTCTGAGGTACTTCTTCACATTCAAATATGAGTATGCACACTTGAACCCACCTACACAATCATTACACTAGTTTATTTTATTGTAAGGCAGGCGTGTGTCTTCGGAATAGGCGGTTACCCTAAATATCACGGGGAGTGGAATTCTTGAGCGATAAATTTAGGTGATATTTTCTTGATGTCAGGGCCAGGAGCATCAGCGTCCACAAGTGAAAAGGTTTCTGGCTTGTTGTCTTAGAACATCTCGTACACTGCCAGTCAGATGTGCCCTGAGGGCATGGATATGGCGAGTACACAGTGCGGAATAACTCCGGTGCTAGACTCATGACATATCGCAAACGTATCCTGAAAAGGGACTGCCTGAGAATACCGTAGCATGACTATACACTGTGTTAGTAGTGTGCATCGAGTCTGTAGAATGTTCTTACACGTTGTAACATTAAGGACGTTTTATTGCTACTCCAGCGTACATGTGTGAAGATAAACTAAGTGCGGCTTACCGTCAAGCCCAGAAAGAGATTGATGCCGCACTCGAAGCCATCCTCTTGGCTGAGCTTCAGCAGGAGTGCAAACAAGCACTGGAGAACGCCCGCCAGGCCTTGCGTCAGACCGGACGCACACCTGAAGCAAGTAAGAGAACCAGGCGAGCCCGACATGTTTAGTTGCCACACAAGACTAAACACGGTGGCCACGATCCTACAACAAGATCGACTCAACACCGGCAGCAGGTTGCTCGGGGGGTGGAGCTGGTCGCTCACGCGTCTTTTAAGGTTGGTGGGCGAAGCTACGCTGGTCAGCTGCAGTGCAATTTTCGGCAGCGAGGTTCTGCGTCGTGCTTATCGCGGCATGACATCTTGTGCGATAGCCTGGTGGAATCGGCTAAGACGAAAGGATTTCTGAAACGCTTGGGTTTTGAAGTGGAGAGGGTGGTACATTTCCTCCTCGCCAGTTATTTCTTTAAAGTACGCAAGAACAATGCCAGCGCGAACTGTTAGCTTCCCGCCGTCAGTAACAATCGCTGCGCCCCGTGTTTTTATAAGTATTCGTGGTCATCGAATGACATCCGGGCAGCTTGCATGAATGTTTAGTAGCAAAAATAATCCCTATTCACTTCAATTTCACATCTAGCATATAAAATTAAGTAGCAAGTTCTTTTTCTAAGCTGACAGCGCAATGCGCCCCGCCCCGTGCCCTGGTGTGGTGGTGCCACCACTTGACTCACCTTGTGACGGGCGAAAAAAAAAGTCACAGCTTTGCCGCAAAGGCGAAGCAATCATCGTGATAGCAACAAATTAGAAGGTCACGGACAGAATGGCAAGAAAATCGAAACGTGTCCCGCGTTTCACACGCACAGATGACGCACGAAACGTATTCACAGGTAAAGATGAATGCGAATAAGCGTCTCAGTTGTTACTTAGCTGTGTCTGAAAAGCGCGCCCTTTTCGCAAACAAAGGCTGTGCAACAATTGCAGGGACCTTTGTGCGCCCCGTAACTACAATAGAATCGTTCCAGTGCAAGCCCAACACCAGTCAAGACGTATGATCCTCCCCACCGGGAGATAAAAGCGTGCGAAAGATCGTCCACTCCCCTCCTTTCCACGGGCCAAAGTACGCGTGTGAGGTGAGAGCCGCCACACGCTCACTGCGCCATCTTGCCGATGATTCTGAAAACACGACAGCTCTCCCCGAGATTCCGCCAACAGCGGTAAGTGGTAGATAAAGATAGCGTGCCGTGTGAACGTTGAAGGAGGTACTTGTCGGTAGTTATTGTGAATACATGGCTTGAACAACGAGGTACGTTTGTGCATGGGGAGTGAACTGTATTTTGTGTAACAAATCAGAAACTGTTGAACACATTTCATTGACTGTTAGAACGCAGTATATTATTGGGATGCACTGCAGAGAACGTTCAAGACGGAGCTACCAATCGACGCCTACGGTATTCATTTTCTGCCTCTACAAAAAAAAAAAAACTGTGTACCGTATGACCTCTTCATGCTTGTAGGTCTTCATTGCAAATAGAGGTCACGTATGAATGTAAAAAATGCTGAGCCCCAAGCACGATCGGGTAACGCCCATTTTGTTGACCAGGTAACAAAGCTAAGAAAAGTGCTGGAACACCGAGGGATAAGTCATGAAATACTATAGCTTAAAAATTGATTGATATGTGGGCTTTGACGTCCCAAAACCACCATTTGATTATGAGAGACGCCGTAGTGGAGGGCTCCGGAAATTTCGACCACCTGGGTTTCTTTAAAGTGCACGCAAATCTGAGCACACGGGCCTACAACATTTCCGCCTCCACCGGAAACGCAGCCGCCGCAGCCGGGATTCGATCCCACGACCTGCGGGTCAGCAGCCGAGTACCTTAGCCACTAGGCCACCACGGCGGGGCTGCTATAGCTTGTTAGACACGTTGAAAGCGTTAAAGGTGCATAATACAGCCAGCCTAACGCACTCTGGTGGGTGATGTGTGGCATATGCATATGTGTAGAAAATGTATTGAAAGTGTAATAACGAAAAAATACTCATCGGTATCTTATTTGTTAATGCCTGGAATTCACGACGTAGAGGTCCCAGATTTAATTCTGCGCGCCGGAGTCTCTTTTCCTGGATTTTTTTTCTTTCTTACGTTTTCAGATATATAGACACATATACATATACGGTGCATGACATCAACGCTGGCGGCAAAATCAAGCCGAGAGTGTCCATATAATTGCTATCGCCATAAAAAAATACAGCAAATCGAGGAAGTGAATGATGATGAGTGGGGTGAAGCTTCGAAGGGTTTTATAGGTAAACCGTGAATCCTCCTTCCGAATGTTCATCCGTCTGTCTCTCTGTCGGTCTGTCCATGCGCACCTCCTGAGTCATAGAACTAGGTGGTCCCGTACCAATTGAGATATGCATGTACTGATACACGGCTTAAAGAACTTATTTCCATAAAAAAACACACAAAAACGCGAATGTCTTCTCTCTATGTGCTATGCCCCGCCGTGGTGGTCTAGTGGCTAAGGTACTCGGATGGTGACCCGCGGGTCGCGGGATCGAATCCCGGCAGCGGCGGCTGCATTTCCGATGGAGGCGGAAATGTTGTAGGCCCCTGTGCTCAGATTTGGGTGCACGTTAAAGAACTCCAGGTGGTCAAAATTTCCGGAGCCCTCCACTACGGCGTCTCTCATAATCATATGGTGGTTTTGGGACGTCAAACCCCACATATCAGTCGATCAAATCAATCAATGAAGCAATGAATTTTCGATGTCATCAGCTTTACTTCAACCAACTCACTTTTGTACGCTTCTCCGTGGGTCTTGAAAGGAAACCAGGCGGCATTATTTATACCTAATATCAGGTGTCTTCTTCGTGAACGATGACGGTGGCTATCGACGTCGGATTAGTTTGATCACGCGAGGGGCAGAACACGTTCTGCGTCTCGGTACCCTTTCAAAGGGTTGCTATTTATGCCACAATGTGCTACTGTACAAGGGATGAAGCACACGCGTAGCTGGTTCACTCACTCGTTTTTGAACCATATTTTGTGAAAGTCACATTAGCTGGAGACATAGATATTAAAGGCTTTCCATTTGAAAGCTTGGTGGGAAACTTCATCGCAATCAAGCTTCATTTTTGGTGTAGTTTGTCATTGGGCTCTGTTTGCTGATAGCATGCGAGGACAGGCATATCTTGTTGTGATTTGCGTTACCCCGACAAAATCCTATGATGGGGAGATGTCCAAATTGCATGCAACTCCCGCGACGAAATCTGCCAAATAGTGCCTTTTGTTCTCAAAGGAACGTGAGTTCTGCGGCTTACTGTCTCCAAGAAAGCTATGGAAAAGAAACACACATGTGACCACTGTTCCATAACATGTCATTACGTGTCTAGCCTGCTCTGTCACTGCTAGGTTTAACACAAAACGTTTCAGCACATATATATCGGGAGCTGAATGAGCGTTCACCCAGTGCAGTCTATGTGCCGATATCTGCAGTGATATATTCATTTCGCAGTACCGGATGACCTCCATGCATGTTGAACCGCGTTCAGAATGCAGCCGCGTCTGTCATAAGAGTCGTATCGCGTAACAGCTGTATTGTTTGTCTGCGTAGGTAGCGACCACGTATGTTCACATTGATCTTCTCGATGTGATATGCTTTTTACGACACCCCAATCACCACTCTGAATGTGCGTGGTGTCCTCGCTATAACTGTTACAGCTTAGCAATGTTCTCGTGTTTGGGCTAAAAGAGAGACGTGACGTGCACTCTCATTGATTGATATGTCGGGTTTAACGTCCCAAAACCACCATAAGATCATAAGAGACGCCTTAGTGGAGGGCTCCGGAAATTTCAACCACCTGGGGTTCTTAAACGTGCACCCAAATCTGAGCACACGGGCCTACAACATTTCCGCCTCCATCGGAAATGCAGCCACCGCAGCCGGGATTTGAACCCACGACCTGCGGATCAGCAGCCGAGCACCTTAGCCACTAGACCACCGCGGCTGGGCGACGTGCTGTCTCATTAACTCACGTAGCGTCTACACTCTAGTCCGGCAGAACAACTGCGGAGACGTGCTACTGCACGACTTTCAAGACGCGCATGAAGAGGCATAATTTAGCGAGGCCGGAAGCCCCACGAACGGAAAAAGGAAACCGAAACTGCTTTGCCCATTGGTCTTCAATACCAGTCGTATCAGTAGTTGTCGTAAATGTCGTGGGCCCGCGAACATATACGTCCCTTACGTTACGTTACTTACGCTAATCACAACAACGTCTGAACAAGCTCCTTACGTTGCTTCCGTTTACGCTTACGGTCCTTACCGACAATCCGTACGTCGCGCACATAGTCTGAACGCAGTTTTAGATGCATGTTTTACGTCGCTCATAACAGGTGCCACCCACAGACACGTCAATTAGTAATATTGACATCAATCCTGATCTGTCCACCGATAACCAGAGTGTGCTGTGAGCGCTCTTGTTCGAGTTCAGGCCTTCCTTTGCAAGTTGCTCAAGATCAGCCAGACGTCCATCACTGAACACAGGATGATCACATACGAGGATGCACGCCCGATACACCAGCACCCCTACCACGTGTCGGCTAAGGAACGTGAAGCGATACGCACGCAAGTCCGCGAGATGCTTGACGATGGCGTTATTGAACCCGTGGTCATCTCCAGTCATGATTGTCAAAAAGAAGGACGGGTCGCTACGCTTCTGCGTCGACTACCGAAAGCATAACAACGTGACCAAAAAGGATGTGTCCAAAACAATGTGACCAAAAAGGACGATTTGCTGGATACACTTCGTGGCGCCCATTATTTGACTTCTCTCGATCTCAAAAGCGGGTACTGGCAAATCGAGGTAGATCAGCGAGACTGCGAAAAAACAGCCTTCCTGACGCTAGACGGCCTATACCAATTTCGAGTACTCCCTTTTGGTTTGTGTTCGGCACCAGCACCTTTTCAGCGAATGATGAACACTGTCCTCACAAGGCTCAAGTGGCAGACTTGTCTTGTCTACCTTGATGATGTGGTGGTCTTCTCTACCACGTTCGAGCAGCACCCTTCACCGCCTGCGCAGCGTGCTGGAGGCTATCCGATCGGCGGACCTCACACTAAAACCACAGAAGTGCCACTTCGGCTATAAAGAACTAAAATTTCTTGGACATGTAGTTAGTGCCAAAGGAATCCGTCCCGATCCGGACAAGCTTGCCGCTGTTGCCGAATTACCAGCTCCTGTCGATAAGAAAGCCGTCCGGCGCTTCCTTGGTTCGTGCGCCTACTATCGCCGATTCATTCATGGTTTTTCACAGATAGCAGAACCTCTGACTCGTCTCACAA